CGCGGGGAGCTCTCAAGGCGGAAAGCGGTTTTTAATTCGTCTGTGGATGTTGCCAGCTTGCGATGGCTGTTGCAGGGCGATGTAGCTGTATAAAAGAGAACGTGCCTCTTTGTTTTTGTATATTCATTGTTCTACTAAGTGTCCTTACAAATGCACAAATTCGCTACAGCATTCAGGAGGAGATGGAGAGCGGCACTGTCGTTGGTGATCTTGTTCGGGATCTCGGTCTGGATCTGCGAAAGCTTTCGGCTCGTCGGATCAGGATCAGCTCCGACAGTGCGAGGCGATACTTCAGCATCAACCACAAAACTGGTAAGCTTGTTATAAGCGACCGGATTGATCGCGAAACGCTCTGTGAATTCAGCGGCACCTGCACGCTTAGTCTCGACGTGGTGTTAGAAAACCCATTCGAACAGCACAACGTGGATGTTGAGATTTTGGATGCAAATGACAACTCGCCGCTTTTCCCCCGAGACGAGTACCAGTTGGAGATCTCCGAGGGCGCACAGCCAGGCGCGCGGTTTTCCATTGAGGGCGCGCAGGATTCTGACGACGCCTCAAATTCCGTGCGCCATTATCGCCTCACCTCAAACGAACACCTGGCGCTCGATTCAACCAAACCACCTGCAGACGGAAAACACATAGAGCTCGTGCTGAAAAAACCTTTCGACCGTGAGTTTTTGCAGTCGCACCAGTTTCTACTCACCGCTACAGACGGCGGATCTCCTCCGCGCTCAGGCACAGCTAAAATCAACGTGCGCGTTTTGGATACAAATGACAACGTGCCAGTCTTCGGCAGTTCCGTATACAAAGTGAAACTGCGGGAAGACTCTCCTTTTGGCGCGCTGGTAAGCAATTGTTCGCTGCCATGCCTACTGCAGCCAGCCAGATGCTTGCTCCTGCTCACCTTGCTGTGGGTCGAAGAAGAAAAAGAAGACAACAATGAAGAAGGTACCCAAAGATGGTGGAGGTGGTGGTGGGGCTGCAGGTGGTGGAGGAGGTGGAGCCGCAGGTGGAGGTGGGGGCGCTGCTGGTGGGGTCACAGTCCAGCAACAGTCTGCGGTGATGCGGAGAGACCTGAAAGTGGAGCCACACTACATTGAGGTCCGAGGAAATGGCTCTTTAACCAAAACATACTGCTATAAGACCTGCCTGACCGCCACCTCAGGAAGTGACACTTTTATGTTCTACAATACGGGCCGGCCATTGAGTGGGACTTGGGGCTCGGGGGCAGACCGTTTCTTCACAGGACAGAGTGGGCAGTTTGTGCGCAGACTGAGCATGCCCGACGCTACGGCAATACAGGTGTGTGCAGTGCCCACACTGTTATAGCATCCATTAAGTGACTCATCCATCTATCCGCCTCATCCATCCATGAAGAGAGGAGAAATTCTCTTCACTCTCAAACCTTTTCACTCTCAGATATGATGATGATTTAGGAGTAGCCCCAACTTTTTTTGTTTTTCTTCCAAATACACTAAAAAAAATGGTGTTGAAACAGTTTTCACTCAGAAATTGCTAGTAAATTCCACAATTAATTACAAAGAGATAGCAAGTAAAACATGCTCCAATAATCTTTTCTGAAACTTATAAATAATTGTATAATAGTTTAATAAAGTTGTTTAGTTGTATTGCTTACTTTTTGCAGTACAGCTAGGCCTGTTTCAGCAGTGGAAAGCACAGGTGTTTTGTTTGGTGTATAGCAGGGCTGAGTAATGGATCCTGTTATATTGGAGCGTTTTTACTTTTTCTTTTTGTGCCTCATTAATTCACAGCAGCAGTCTTCAGTGTGCACTGCAGAATGCATGCGTGTGCAGTTTTGATGATTTAGTGTATCAGACTCTTTCCACTTGTTTATAGCTGTTAACAAATTGCATTTCATTAGTTATGAATTTAGAGAAAAACACTCTGTAGGGTCCACCAACTGGTCCAAGCATAGTTGGCAATGGCATGGCAGAAGGATTCCTGGGAGTTACTGTCTTTCCTTTTATGCAACGCATCAATATTCGATAATCAAATTTAGATAAACGTTTGATCATTCTGTTGAACTCTTTAGTTCATATTTTACTAGTTCATTAGGATTCTGTTGCTCAACGTCTCGAACTACCGTTAACATGGATCTCATGGTTGCAAACTCGCCAGTCTGATCATTAGCCAGAGATTATGACTAATATTATTTAATACACCTATGCTTGCTATTTCAATAGTATTTTTGTATAGCCCCCTGCATAACAACTCAAGCAGTTAATCAGAAATCCAGAATCCCTCCTGCTCCATCTAACCTGAAATCTAGTATGTACTTAACCCTGGACATATATTTGTGGTAACATACAGTAGGCCTTCACTTTATCAATTTGAGAAAATAATTTCAGAGTAAGTCAGATTAAATCCAAACTTGACAATTTATTCACCAGATAATCAAGATAGCTAATAATCCAAAATCCGATTCAGACAATGTAAAGCATTTGTCAGTTATACAAAACACCCAATAATACAGAAGTGAGAGAACTTAAAAGCATTTACCTGGCAATGAGAACTACACACACTGACTACATGGAGATCTGTCTACAGATTCCCTGAACCTTTGCCACCCTCATTTCAATATCCAGATAAGCCATCAATTTAACAAACAGTGCTGTTTGCTTATTATAAGGATTTTGGCACATCACTCTTGGAGTTGTGAGTGGTGAGAATTCTTCTTTGATTTATTTGGGAAGATGCATCTCATGTGCATACAAGAGTTGCATACAGTACACTTTTAAAAAAAATGGTTACACTTTATTTTAAGGTGTTCTTGTAGCTCAAGCAACACTCCAGTTTCTCTGTGCCCACAGTTAAATCTCTCTAGAGAGACTCTCCGGTCTTGCTTCAGTTTAGTTACACAGCTTCACATTGGACATCATTCACCAAAACCAACTCATAGGCCTTTAATCTGGCAACACAGGTTAGCATGATTGGTTCTCTGATAGATAGATAGATAGATAGATAGATAGATAGATAGATAGATAGATAGATCTCCTTTAAACACTTTGTACACATACACACTCATTTTTAGATGGGTAAATTTTAGGAAACTTGAGAGAACGAAATGAGAATCGCTATTCAGAATAATGGCAATTGCAAAATAACGATTTTATTTTATTTTATTTTATGAAAGGAACCACTCTCTTTTTGTGTTGTTAAACCCTGTTAAATTGACTACAGCTGCTATAGATCATAGTTATGCATAATTCCCAACAGATGAAATGGTTTTCTCATCAGTGAATCTTTGCAGCAGTTTTGTCAGTCTTTCAAACTTTAGTATGACCACCAATTTATTACAAATGAAGCCTTCCCTATCTGTTCTGTTAGTTCACCAGAGATCTTTATTACAAACTGAGTGCATTTATGTGGTGTTTCAAGGATTACTGGATGTGAAAACTGTTGAGCGCCTCTTATTTGTGAAGTAATTACTGGCTCATTTCAACTGTTCTCATTAAATGTCAGTCATGTTTGTTCTCCCTGTGTGTGATTAAGTGGCAGTGGAGCTGAGCTCTGTGTTTCTGGTGGCTGATTGGATCATTTGTTTTGGAAAGAAAAGGAAGTAAGGATTGTGATTGGTTGGTGCAGAGGTGTGAATGCTGTATCTAGGCGAGGTATTGTCCACTCAGAAGGGAACTGAGAGAGAGAGAGAGAGAGAGAATGATGAAAAAGAGAGCAAGGAACTGCTGGTGAGACGAGATCAGACTAAACTCATTATCTGCTTCTCCTCACACACACACATACACACACACAGTGATAAATCAAAGACATGTGAGGTGAATAAAAAACAGATCCCTAGTTTCTTTGCTCAGCAACCCTCTCTGTCTCCATATTCACTATATTTGATTGTCTGTAATTTCTGCAAAGGATTTTACCCTTGTACTCTTCATCCAGAATCTTTTAAAAGTCTTCCTCCTCCAGATGCTTATTTACAGTAAAAACAATTGGTGCATCAGATTACATGCATTTTAAACCTTCTGGGCTTGTTATTTTGTTGTTGCATTTTCCGTTTTTTATTTACATGGTTTTCCCTTGATATTAGAGGTTTGGCCATTGGAATGTGGTCATTACGGGTCTGTTGCATTGATTTGAAACTGATTTATATTCAGCCTTTCTTTATAAAATGTTTTATTTGACAGCTTGTACACCATCAATGAAAGGTTCATGCAACATTGTTAGTATATGATGTATTTGGGCATGACTGCTACCTGGTGTTTTAGTATCTAAAAGTTAGTACTCTCCAGCACAAAACAAGCTGAAATGTCCTGCTGTGTGATTTTAATACAGGATGATTTTTAAGTGGTTGTAAATGAGATTTAATACCACACCTGGGTGAATATAAATATTCACCCCAAAATCATAATATATATATATTATTATTATTTATTTTTTTATTACTATTAATATTTTTTGCATTCAATGACAAGTAAGCAGTTTCTCCATATTCTCATTACTGAAAATAATGTCAAAAGTCTTTGTTGTGCCAAAAACAAGCTTCATTTACTTAAGCAAGATACTGTGTCTGGTTTCTGTTCTTTTGATTTTGGAGTGAAATATGACCTAGACATGTTCTTGAATGTTTCATGGCAATCACTCACCTTGTGCATTTTGGCTGCAGATATGCCTCAGTTTCTCTCTCCCTGAGGAGACTCATTCAAACTGATCTCACCCCTTGATTCGTCACAATTGTTTAAATGGTTGGTTTAGCTGGTTCAGATCTTTTGGATGATGAGCATCTCAAATTAACATTGATATTTGTGTGTCTATGTGTGTGAAAAAATGTGTGTTTAAGACATGGATGAAATCTTGACCCAACTCTATCGCTTTCCTCCAAAGCCACAGTCCTGCAGCCATCATGGCCATATGACTTCACTCCAGCATGATTAATTAATGAGATGATATTGGGTTTTTGATCCGTCCTAGTGCTTAATGTGATCTCTTTCTCTCTCTTTTTCTGTCTTTGTCTTTGTCTTTCTCAGCCTAAAGCTCCCGGTGCAGACTGGAGATATTCAGCGTCCCTTAGAGCAGGAATGCAGAGGTAAGATTTGATTGGTTTCATTGTCTTTTCAAATCATCTGCTGAATATGCCCTATTACTTTAAAGGGGTTAATTCATTAATTAATTAGTCTTTGTATTCATTGTACCAAAGTAGAGATTGGACGAATTATTACAAACTACATTTGTACTGTTTTGACAAAAAAAATAAATAAAATATATATATATATATATATATATATGGTTCCTCCTCCAGATGCTTATTTACAGTAAAAACAATTGGTGCATCAGATTACATGCATTTTAAACCTTCTGGGCTTGTTATTTTGTTGTTGCATTTTCCGTTTTTTATTTACATGGTTTTCACTTGATATTAGAGGTTTGGCCATTGGAATGTGGTCATTACGGGTCTGTTGCATTGATTTGAAACTGATTTATATTCAGCCTTTCTTTATAAAATGTTTTATTTGACAGCTTGTACAATCAATGAAAGAGGTTCATGCAACATTGTTAGTATATGATGTATTTGGGCATGACTGCTACCTGGTGTGTGGTAGTTGTTTTGCAGACTTGTATGATGGAAGTGTGAGTTTGCATGTTGTGTGGAGGAAAAGCAAGCCCTGCTTATTACACTGCAAATTGGATTTCACATTGATAAATGTCCTCCAGGAGATGTTTGTGAGATAGAAAATGGGTGACAAAATAGGGAGCACAGATGCCATGCCTGCTTTTTTAGTATCTAAAAGTTAGTACTCTCCAGCACAAAACAAGCTGAAATGTCCTGCTGTGTGATTTTAATACAGGATGATTTTTAAGTGGTTGTAAATGAGATTTAATACCACACCTGGGTGAATATAAATATTCACCCCAAAATCATAATATATATATATTATTATTATTTATTTTTTTATTACTATTAATATTTTTTGCATTCAATGACAAGTAAGCAGTTTCTCCATATTCTCATTACTGAAAATAATGTCAAAAGTCTTTGTTGTGCCAAAAACAAGCTTCATTTACTTAAGCAAGATACTGTGTCTGGTTTCTGTTCTTTTGATTTTGGAGTGAAATATGACCTAGACATGTATATATACATGCATATATGTTTTTTGTTGAGTATCATGTTTTTACATAAGGGTTTTATGGCTCATGTATGCAATTCATTTTAAATCAGTGATAATTGAGAGATGGACAAACAAATGTTCCCCAAAAGCCTGCTGTGTCACATTTGACATTTACATTAACATGAAAAATAAAGAAGTTTTAATTTTTGCATGAGCAAAAAAGACTTTACTTGATAAAAAGAAAAAAGAAAAAAAAAGTATAAACTATCAGTCAGAGGATATAAGGCATGAAGTAGATTCTGTACAAGTTTTTCAGCAAAGTTTTGGTCATATTGATAATTTATAGGTCCTAGAAATTTGCGTATTCAATATGATATGGCTAATATATTCATAATTATGCATTATATTTATTGCTCAACAGAATTTGACAAAGAATGTTTAGTTTACAGTAAGTTATGAGATAAGTTTTAAAACTTTGGCAAAAATTTTGTTATTGCCAAACAAGCCTTCTTTTTACAGTGAATTTATACCCCCAAAGTGGCAACGTATCCTGGGGGATAAAAACAATTAAATCAAAAACATTTTTTTTGTTTTGAAAAAAAAAAAAAAAAAAATATATATATATATATATATATATGGACCACAGGTAAAATTTACATTTACATTTAGTCATTTTCCAGACGCTTTTATCCAAAGCGACTTACAATTGGGGAATAAAATATCACATAAAATGTACAGTGATGACTCCTTTAAATGGACGAACCTGGTGAAAGGAGGACAAGAATAGCATATTGTAAGATGTTGATTTCCAGACATTAAATGGACGTAGTTACCTATAAAAACAACTGATGTTGATATGATCATGGAAACTCATGTGCACAGGCATTACCCATAAACCACTGGACCAGGCTGTGCGTAGCATATTGTTATCCACCACTCATTGTGAATCAACCAATGGTCTGATATAGATGTACCAGCCGTTGAATGACCAGTACAGCTGTACAACGAAAATTGCCCTGGAAGCAGAAGTAGGTCACATGTGGCGATTGAAGTATTGCCCACAGCCATGTCAGCAAAACGATGGCAACGAAGGACATTGCAGACAACAGACTGGACAGCACGTTCACATATGCCAGGGCTATGTGTGTGTGTGCTTGACTGAATGACCTCCGATCTTCATTAGTGGTACACTGATTCCCTCCTAATTACAGCAGGGTTTAATGAGAGCTAATATAGCCACGCAAATCATTCTCTTGCATTAAATCAGATTCCTGTCTCACAATTTATGTGCTTAGAGAAACCTCTGCAAAATTAATTTCACATTTATGATGCTCTTGCTTTCTCTGTCTTGAGTTTATACTTTCATTGGTAGCTTCTTTGTAAAGTCAGCAGCTTCTTATTAATGTTTACTATTGCTCATTTTTAGAGTTTAGAATTTGAATAAACCCTGAAGCCTATGTTATTTTTTGACATGCAAGTTTGTTACTGTATTAAGTGATCAGAATGATTTTTAAGAACCATAGGGATCCCAGCCATATCCAGAGACCAGAATTATTTAAACTGCAGCACCTTAGCAACCTCATAGCGATGTGTTAAAGCCAGTCAAAAGACCTTAGCAACACCTTGGCAATTAGAGTGAGATTTGCAAGGGCAAACATTACCTTATTTATTGTTACTCTCCTAAATGTAATACTTTTTCACACCATAGCCAAACAGGTTTATTCAGAAATAGCTTTTTGGATGTTAAACAGAGAAATGATCAGTGGAGGAGACAATAACATTGATATGCAGGCAGAAATGAACAGGGGGGAGGAGAGGCAGACAGGGAGAAAGCGAGAAGGAGGATGTTTGAACATTAGCTGAGGATCATGTATTTGGTCCAGTGTTTCTCATTAATAATGTATTAAGCCTTAGTGACTGCTGCTTCACAGCTCTTTAAAATGGCTTCCACACACATACACGTATACACACACACACACACACACACAGCATGTAATAGCAGTAGTAACCACCTGACCTTGGACTGCAAACATTCATCAGAGAAAGACAGAGAGGGGGCAACTAAAATGGTGGTTTTCCACCCACCCCCCTCTGTTCTGCATGCTTTCTGTCATTGGATCATTTGTTTTTAACAGATTACTGGTTGATTGCAAGTTAGGAATGTCAGAACATATTAATTCTTGTATTTTAAAATTCACTTTTAAAGCATTTCTGATCTGTTATGGAGGGTGATGCTAAAAACTGGTGAAAGTTATCTATCCATCGAACTGGTATCTATCCATTGAAGAGTTAAATAACTAGTGACTGATATGCTAAAATAATAAAATAATATAAATAATTTTCTATTTATTAAAGTGCCCCTATTATGCCATTTCTAATATTGCCTTTCATGCAGTGTGTATAGCTGTATGAGAATGTAAACGATCAGCAAAGTTGTAAAGCCGAAGTTGTAAACATCCTCCAGGAGATGTTTGTGAGATAGAAAATGGGTGACAAAATAGGGAGCACAGATGCCATGCCTGCTTTTTTAGTAGGAAGAAGTTAGTACAAGTGGTACGGTATGGTTCGCTATTTTGGTACCATTCACAACTTCTGACAGTGGAAACGGACATAATTGT